TTTCTGCACCATAATTTATATCACTAAACTCTACAGAGACAGAACAAAATTAATTTGCTATCCTAGCAATAGAAATGAAGTTAAAAGTCAAAAGAGACGGATGTTCAGCAGCAACACACATTGCTTTTGATTAAAGAATGTGTCAAAATTATTTGGCCACTGAATATTTTTTTTTGTCAAAGATTAATATGCATATTATGAATATGAAAGTGTAGGTTGTGCAAAAGCAGCAGAAGCAAGGCCACAAATACCATGTTTGTCCTTCAGAAAGAGATTTTCTGGAAAAGCATTACTAAAGCTCACTAAGAACAAATGCAGGGTTTAATATAAAACTACCTGATCCTGAACAATCTGCATGAAATCTTCCTTCCAGTAGCATACGCCTTCTGAAGAAAGGTGTCCTTAACTGCAATGTCTCCTTCAAATAATTTTTTCAAATCAAGCATTCAATACTTGTTTCTTCTCCACCTCTCCACAACCTAATGATGTTTGTTGTTGGTCCTGGTGTTTTTTTGTTTTTGTTTTTTTTTTTTTTGGTTTGGTTTGGTTTGTTTTTTTGTTTTGTTTTTGGTTACTTAAATTGCTTGTCAAATCCTTGCTGCTATCCCATTAGCAAAAAATATTTTGTTTTAATTTGGGACCTATAGCTACAACACAGTTAACGCTTCATGCTGTAGAAATGGAGTATCTCATTATGTGGAAGTATTCATTTATCAAATTGTAAGTTATATTCACAGAATTCACAAGCAACCACTTTTGTCTTTCACCTAATATTTCTCAGCAAGGCAGCCATGAGGTGAAAATCAAAGCAGGTAAACTAAAGCAATAATTTGGACAAATTAGTGAAATCTCTAGTGCTGTGAAGTATACAGCAACGTTTCCTTAATTGCCCCGTATTTTCCCCTTAATATTTCAGTATTTCACGGCCTCGGAAAATTGTATTGTTATAAATAATTCACCATGAACGCTGCCAATTGTGCTTCTTTCAGACACCCTCAAGTTCAGCTCAGTTCACGGACGCCCATTCTCGGCCGCCTGTCAGAGCCACAAAGGGGCTGTCAGGAAGGCGGCGGCAGCTCCGATGCCATCGCGGGCAGAGAATGCTCCAGAAAACCCCATCGAAGGGGGTTGCAACCAGTCGTAGCCCGAGAAGTGACACCAATAGAAAGGCTTTAAAAGAATTGAGAAACTGAAGTGTAAAAGGTGAGCGGTCACTTTTCAGTGGACGACTCGGGACCACTTGAGGAAAGAAGGAGTGGAAAGATTTCGCATCACTTCAGAGCCCAGGGCATGGGAGACAAGCTTGCAAAGTGATCTCGAGCTGTTCATTTCTCAGGATAGGTGAGCACACAGCAAGAAAAGCATTTTGACAAGTGCATTGAGAAGTACAAGGAGACCACGATTATTTACAGCATTGAAAGAGGCTGCCGCTTTAATTTTGGAATATTTGGATGATGGGATTGCAGATAATTGCGAGCAGAGGGAAGTGTGTGCTGACATACAACATACCTTGCGTGCAGGAAAATATTTCAACGTGTGCTAAAGAACTTCAGCTGGACCCTAACTACATCCACACGCATGCTCTAATAAAGAGATCTTGGTCGAAGCTGACCACATTCATAACAGCAGAGGAAGGGAGCAACAGCAGCCTGAACTGGTGCCCTTGGCTACCCAAACTTGAACTGATTTGGGCCAAAATCTCGTCGATATAAGTTCCTGGATTTTGAGCAAAGCTCTTTTGTATCAGCGTGGATGTGAGCTACTGCGTCTGGTGCATATATGTGGGAGAGATGTGTGTAAAGGTTTACACAGCTGTCTGCAGGGTGCAAGGCAGTGTGTCATAGCCTGTTCTGAGGGAAGGAGTCAGAAACCCTGAAGGCTGCAGGAGCCAAAAGGGACCTTCTCGGGCATTTCGTACTCAATCCAATGGTTTTCATTAGCCTTGGATCTTTTGTGGAAATTTGGTGTCTAAGTTAGAATCTCACGGCAAAGATCAACATCGTGCCTCACTCCCGGTTAAGGCAAGCAGCATGTCACTTCAGCTCCCTCGTTTATATCACCATGCATTTATTAAGTCCCCACTTCATCACCACGTTATGGTATTCAAAGCACGGCCACGAAGATTTTCCCTTTCCAAATTCAAGCCCCATCTTTGTTCTCCCTTTTATCCACCACATCAGATGCAGCGGAGGAAATCAATAGCATTTTTCTGTGCATCAGGGCTCTCCCATCGATATGTACATGTAACGATTACATGAGCAAGGGTTCTGCTGATCTGAATAAGCCTGGGGGCTTTACCCCTGTTGGTACCTCTGGGAACATCGAACTGTGTGACACTGTGACCTGATTTAGTTTTCGAGGGCTTCCACCCTTCTGTCAGAAACAGCCCTCCTCTCACTTAGGCTGTGAGGTGATGTCCCATGCTTTCAAGCAAACGAAAACAGCTTTCTACTTCCCCCTCCAACTCCTGAATGAAATACCCTGGTCCAACAACCTGCCCATCCGAGCAAGCAGTTACGGCATCAGTCTTGCTTTGCGAAGACAGAAGAAAACTGCAAAACATTATTTCTTGCTCAGGTGATTCACACAGTTGTCCTGTCCAAGGGAATCCGAAATGTCACACCATTTATCTGTCCTGCATCAACTGCTGTGTGGAGGATGGTGCCTTAAACACATTATTTGAAGGTTTTAGATTAACAGGTTCAAAACTTCCATCGATTAGTCCCACTGCTGGTATTGCACAATAGCTGAGTTTATCCAGTTCAGCAGCTGATTTGAGCACGTTAACCTTGTCCTGGCTGGAGCCGCTGATGGAGAAGTCTGATGAGATTGTTCTGAACAAGGACCCCACGTTCAGTACAGGTACTGAACGTATACAATGCCTACCTTCAGTTCCTTTATTACTTACATTCAATAACTAATGATTAGTTAGTTGCTAACCAAATGGTTAGTCATGATAATTAGCCTATGAATTAACAACACCAAAAAAAAAAAAAAGTCTCTTCCTTATTTCTTAATGTTTCCTATTGTTTTTTTTAGTTGCTTTCTCTGCTTATAATTTTCTTATTATGATGTTCTTAGCCGGAGTAGGCATGGAGATGGATTATGAATCTCTTTCATCCCATTTACAGCAGCAACAGCATTTCAGATTCTGGCCTGGCCTGCTGCCAGGTACAAGCAATACATTTCCTCCAGTTGCAAGCAATAAAATTATTCTGTCTTTGTTATTCCACATTTCTCTGGATCTTTTTGAAGGACAGCAATGATTCTCCGCCAGCGCTGCTGTGATGAATTATATGCTTTAGCTGTTTAGCACAAGGGTGAGCTATACAAAGCCACAGGAGGCTGAATTTAAAAAATGATCCATGTGAGTTTTTATTGTTTTTCACATCACTTTCATAATAGTAATGCAAATACAGCAAAAATACTAAGTGCAATTAGGGAGACAATAAAAATTAGGAAATTCACAGACTGGTTGTTGTTCTTTGGCATGCCTGTTTTCTGCGATTTTAGAGTCAAAAAATTAAAAGCTCCGTTCAGCTTGGGAGACTCCGTGTCAGCTCTATGCCTCCCGAGTGCTTTGCTGCTTTTGAAAATGTGTTTCCATTTCCTCCTCTTTTACTGGAGTTTATGCCAACATGTTTACAATTGCATCCTAGCCTATTCATTAAGTTACACTTTCAAGAAACCTAATTATGCACATTCAGAGTTCTTGTACACAATCAGTATGAATAAGGCAGTTTGGAGCATCTTCTCAACTCTGACTTTCAGAATCATGTTTTTTTCTTCTTTTTTTTTTTTCCACTGAAATGGGTAAAATTTATTCTCCTAAAACTTGCTTTACAGGGGACAGTAATTTAATTTCAAGTGCATTGAAGCTATACTTTGTCGCATATTTGATTGTATTTAATAGTGAATGTGTTTGTATGGTTTTGGGGTGTTTGTTTCACTGCTTTGTTTTCATTTGGATAATTGTGGGTTTGTTTACTTAAAATGATTATATTAGTTAATAAATCTAGTACCTTACCCCATTTACTTTTTTTCTTTTTTTTCAATTTTTCATGTAGTGGTTAATGAGCATTCATTTTGAATGTTTTGAACCCCAGAGACAGCGCTGTTCAGTGCAAATACTCAGTCTCCCTCTTTAGAGTATTCAGTTTGCCTTTCTATGCAGATAGTTTATAACAATTTTCCTATTGAATATTCTGCTTTAATTTATTCTAGCCGAATTCCTGTGCCATTTTCATCACCACCCTATGAGGACATACTCCATTAGGAAGTTAAATGTGGTAAGTTAAGATACGGTATTTGGTTCTTTTCCCCCTTTCCCTGCCCAGAAAGCAGTCTGCTTGACTACATTCATTATGAAAGGTTATCATTAGAGAGAAAAAAAAAAGGAAAAAGAAAAAAAAGTAGTGTAAGAGTTGATGGTCAGCAGCCTTACTCCTCTGTGCAGTAAAATGCAACAGGGTCAGTGAATTAGGTCTGCCCTGGAGTTCAAGCCTCCTTGCTGGTCTTACAGGGCACTTTCACCCTCCTGCCACTGTAACACCTCGCCGTGAGCTCCGGGGCTCACCTCACCCGACACAACGCCCGTAGGACGCCCACCAACCCACCGCCCCACTGCAACGCTGACGTGAAATAAAAATAAATAACGTGAATAAAAAAACGCTTTATTTCCATCTTCCCTCTTCCCTGACGAGCTGCCCCTTCAAACCCGGGGTGATGCCGGGCAGGGCAGGGCAGGGCACTGAGGAGCCAGAGCAGCGGCGCCGCCAGCCTCCGGCCGCCATCTCCGGCCGCGCTCCCCTCGCCCCGTCCCTCACAGGCTCTGCGCCCCGCAGCCAAAATGGCGGCGCCTCCTTCGCCCGCCGCCTTCAACGGCGCCCTTCCGTCCCGCCCCCCGTGCCGCACCTAAGCCAATCAGCACCCTAAACTTTCCCCCTCCACCAATCGCTCTCCAGGAATCTCTAAACTGTCAGCGCGGGCAGCCAATGGCTGAGAGGGAGAGCCCGCCTCCTCCCGCTGCCGGTTGCTGGGGCAGCGGCTGTCAGGAGCCCCCGAGCGGCCCCTTTAAGCGTAGCGTGGCAACGGCGCCGCGTCCGCAGGTACCGGCGGGGCCGGGGCCTGGGCATGGGGACGGGGACAGGGGACAAGGGACAAGGGACAGGGGACCCGGGGCCGGGGCCGGGTGCGCGGCTGCCCCCGGGGAGCGGGGCCGCCATGATCTGGCCGTGGTGCGTTGGGCTCCCTGAGGCGTCTGCGGAGCTCCGGGGGGTGCCGGGGGGGGCTGCCCCGCGCTGTGTGGCTGCTGTTTATCTGATAATTCGTTAATTTAATCATTTTTAATTTGTTTTTGGTTTTGGTTTTGTGTAACAGGCTGACAACTAACCCATATTCCCCCCCAAAGTATTAAATGTACGGGTGCCAGAGGTACCTCGGTGGGTTTTCCTCAGGCTTTCCTCAGTTAAACTCCTTTCCTAACGACCCAGGCTGCTCGGTAACGGCTGAGGAGTCAAGGAAGCAAAATACTTCGAAATTAGAGCCTCCTCAGGCGAACCGAAGTAAAACTCAGATGTCCCAGTGACTCGTTTGCTCTAAAGGCAATCTGCGATTTTTCTTTTTTTTTATCTTAATCAAATTACATCTTACATCATAACCCGAATCTTGCAAAACCCGACAGACCACGGTTTCCAGTTTTGTAGGAAAAAGTGTGATAATCTTACCAGTTTACAAACCCAAAAGCCATTTGGAGATGCAGGAAATTAATTTTAGAGGTTCCTCGAGGGAGCTTGTATGGGTTCACCTTTCCCCATTTGTTTTCAGCCCTTCGATTTCCCAAATACTTCCAGAAAGCATCAGAAATCGCTGTGCTTTGCTACCTGTCAAAACGGTGCTTAGCAAAATGTTCTTAAAAGTGGGTAATATCCAGCACAGAAATGGATAATTCTCATCCTCCGGTTTTCACGTTTTACTTCACAAAATACAATTTGTCTATTTTAAATACTGTTGTGAAAAGCACTCTTCGTAAGGATTATTGCCTTTTCAGTGAGTGCTTGTGGGACTATAAAATGACTGATCAGCGTTAAGTTAGTAAGTGAAAATGAGTGTTCTTGTTTTATACATATAATTAGACATCTTGATAATTGAATTGTAGACATTTACATTTTTCCCTGAATGCAGTCCCACTCGTTTTCATTCACATATGCTTTTTTTTTTTTTTTTCTCCAGAAAAAAATCTGTGCACGAAGACTTCTTTCCGTCTTTCAGTATCCTACAGGCAGACAAAAGTAAGGTATATCTTGGCTACACCCACACCACTGGAGTTATTTGCTCCACACAGAAATCAGTGCTGCCACTTAGGTTAACACCTGTGGTGCCTCTGCCACTGGTGTGACCGCCCCAGGAGCCCAGGGCTGCTCTGGATGCCACATGTGCCCCCGTGGCCCGGAGACAGACCAGGCTGCTTGAATACCACCAGATTGTTTTGTTCAGCACGTTGCTCTCAGCAAAGAGGGGAACACAGATGCAGAGCCAGGAATCAGTTGTTAATCTAATTAAAATCTTAATGGTCTAATCAAAGATTTAGTACTAGTCCAGATAATAAACACGGTTCAAGTTAGGCACAGTTAGAGTGATGCAGACAGCCTCCAGTACCAAGCACACTTTCTGGTGTTAACTTCAGCCACATCTGGGACCTGAATGGATCTGCCTGGCAGGGGGGGAGTCTTTACAGCAACTCACCTCTTCCTGTGCTTCCCAGGGAAGGCTTTGGGATGGTGGATGCTAGTAGCTTCTTCTTCCTCATCTTGGGTCCATGTGGGATCATTTTTTATTCTTCTAACGGACTGTACACATTGCTCTTGCTTCATTGCTCCATCCAACTTTATAACATGTGGTGTGTTTGTTCTGTGTGTTATCTGTAAAACTGTTTTTGCCTGTTTCCCAAGATCGCATCCTTCTGATGAGCAGTTACTGACCACCGGTGAGCTGTTACAGCGTGGGGCCCAGTGTCGCCCTGCATTTGTGCTTTCAGGGCCCTGCAGTCCTCTCATGGCTGTGCTCCTCTCTGCTCCATTTTCCCAAGGGGAAACAAATAGTTTACTCCCAGAGCGAGCTACCTGTTGCTTTCTGTTAGTTTTACATGTAACTATAGGTGCTAGAGCACACGGTTGTACAAAGCTAAGCAAAAAGCAAAAACGAATTAGATAAGCCACCTGGCTGTTAGCTAATTTTGCTGCAACTAAACAAACTATAGCAAAGCTCCAGGCATCCAAAATGAGTCCAGACAAAGCCTGACAAGTCCCGTGGCCCATTTTGTTAGCTGAAAATGCAGCCTGTGGCTTCTTACAAGCAATGGCATCGCATATATATAGCTTTTGTGGCTATAGCCTACAAGCACAATTACAGTTTTCGATGTTTTTTCATTCCAGATGACTGAAATAATGTGAGGTCTGTGATACAGCCCTCCAGAGTATTATCTTTATATTTTCAGAAAGATAAAAGACAGAATTAGTTTTATATTAGTTTATATTTTAATATGTTCGTTTATATTTTATTTTATATCTTCTGCATTCCCTGTGATTCTGTCTCGTGCAGTCAGAACTGACGCAGCTTTACCTGTGCACCATGTAGAGAGCAGAGTGTTCCCAAAACTGCATCTGTGTTTCAGTTTGGGAGCAAGGAGCAAGGCAACAGAAATTCTGTGCAGATGATTGTGAGACCAGTTAGGTGTGAGTGTTGATATGCTCGAGGGTAGGAGGGCTCTGCAGAAGGATCTGGATAGGTGGGACTGGTTGGATGAGGCCAGCTGTACGAGGTTCAACAAGGCCAAGTGCTGGGACACAACAACCCCATGCAAGGCTAGGGGAAAAGTGGCTGGAGAGCTGCCCCGCGGAAAGGGGTCTGGGGGGCTGGTCAGTAGCTGGCTATGTGCTCAGGTGGCCAAGAAGGCCAACAGCATCCTGGCTTGTGTCAGGAACAGTGTGGCCAGCAGGGCTAGGGAAGTGATTGTCCTCCTGTGCTCTGCTCTGGTGAGGCTGCACCTCGAGTGCTGTGTTCAGTTTTGGGCCCCTCACTACAAGAAGGACATCGAGGCCCTGAAGCGTGTCCAGAGCAGGGCTATGAAGCTGGTGAAGGGCCAGGAGCACAAGGCCTGGGAGGAGCGGCTGAGGGAGCTGGGGGTGTTTGATCTGGAGAAGAGGAGGCTCAGGGGAGACCTCATTGCTCTCTACAGCTACCTGAAAGGAAGGGGTGGGGAGCTGGGGGTCGGCCTCTTCTCGCAGGTAACCAGTGATAGGACTAGAGGGAATGGCCTCAAGTTGCACCGGGGGAAGTTCAGGTTGGATATTAGGAAGAATTTCTTCACTGAAGGGGTTGTGTGGCACTGTAACAGGCTGCTCAGGGAACTCGTTGAGTCACAATCCTTGGAGGTCTTCAAAAAACATAAAGATGTGGTGCATAGGGACATGGTTTACTGGTGGACTTGTCAGTAGTAGCTTAATGGTTGGACTTGATGATCTTAGAGGTCTTTTCCAACCTGAATGATTCGATGATTTGATGACTTAGGAGTAGAGCTGTTTGGGAGGATGGTTGCACCTTGATAAATTCAAACATTCTTACTGGATCGTAGTCTTAACCTCATTAATGCGTGTGAGGGTCTTCATTGTATTTAGAGACAGATACAGTTATGGTTAGGTGTATACTTTTGAAATATAGCTCCATTAATTCAGAAAAAAAAAACATACTTATTGCTGATCAATTGAATGTTTGCAATCGCTGACCCCTCCTGCATGTGTTTAGCAGTCTCTAGGACAAGTGATCTCAAGCATAACTTGTCTTCTTTCTCAGCCTTGTGGTGTAATTTCAGTTTTCATCTTTGATGTCAGTTTTAGGTATCTAATTTATTTGGACCTCATTGAAAATATTTAGGTACTTAACATTATTTTGGAAAGGTACTCCCCAAGCAAAGAAAAAAACACTCTCTTCCAAATAATTCAGTAACAGTTTCCTAGGAGCTTCTCTGTTCAGAAATCTATGGGGATATTTATTCCTCTAATTCCTGCTGTATAGATTATGAGGGCAAATCCATCCTAGTCACTGGAGACAGAGTTGAGTGTGCTAACCATGAACTGGGCCAGAAAGCTTAAATTTGTAATGAAAACTTTCTTGGCACCTGACATTTCTGTTCTGCTTGGCTGTGCAATTCTGCAGGTATGGGCAGTGGAACAGAAGGCTAAAAAAGCGTGCTAAGTTTATTTTATTGGGGAAGCAAAGTGATATAGTGAAATACTGACCTCTTTTTTTACAGGTATGTCATATGCCCTGCAGTGTAGAAGAGTTTTGGTTGAAAGCAGCTATTTTATTTTATTTTATTTTATTTTATTTTATTTTATTTTATTTTATTTTATTTTATTTTATTTTATTTTATTTTATTTTATTTTATTTTATTTTATTTTATGTATGTAGTTTACTTAACCATTTAGAAATGGGTTAGGAGTTCATGTCATTCAACAGGCAGAACTGACAGGCTCTGGTGTAAGTCCTTTTTATTCACCCATTAGAGGCTTCATGTCTTGAAGTTGGGAAGTTGGGAGATGGTGGAGAAATAAGCTTGAAAACTGTGGTGAGAGACATAAGACACAGGATGCTGCACATAATTAATACTTTACACATTGATGAGAAAATACTTTTGACTGAGAAGGGTAAGGAAAATTTTGGATATATTTACTCCATGGTGTTGTCACCAAGTGTCTCAAAAAACTGCAGAATAAGGTGATTTTTACCTTCAGTTTGGAGGACTTTTTAGTTTACATCAAAAGACCATCTGCAGGAGCAGCCATTCTCTTTTATACCTGCTGCAGTAACATTTACCATATACCAGCAGCACTGTCTCCTTCATCAGATTCTTACAAACTTAAAAATAATTATTTTTTTAAAGGCTCTGTTTGCATTTTCATATCATGCACATGACACAAATACGTGCTCCTTCCAGCTCTTGAGGGCACGAAGCACTAGATGTTGTAGGATACAAGAGCACTTCCCACGGCAAAGGGAAGGGCCCAGTAGTGGTTAGGGCTGGAACATGCTCCAGGCAAATGGGACAACTGATTTTTCAAGCACGTTATTTAGCATCATTGGACTGTCAGAAATTGAGATATGGAAAATTTAGTCAAATTCTACAAATACTGTCTCAGTTCTAGTCAGAAATAAGTCATTAATTTATTGGGTAAAAAGTTTTTCAGTATGTTTAAATTAGTTTCCTAAATAGCTTCAGACTTTTACTTGTCTTTTGTCTTGTTTTCCAAATACTTCGCTCTCTAACCTGGCAGTAATTCCTTGTTCAAGATTTAGCTGTGGTACTCTTCTCATTCCTCTTTCTGGTGATGAAGTGCCTCCAACTACTGAGTATAGTACTTGCTCTGTTCCTAGAATGATGTCTGTCCCATTCAATATAAGTAATAAAGCTAATGTAGCAAAGCATGTGGCGTAAAGTTAAAGGAATTCTGAATAATTTTACAGTTCTTCTACCTTTCTTAAGGGCAAAATCACTCTCACTTTTTTTTTCTCTCTCTCAGTTATTACAGAAAAATGCATTCTGAATGGAAACTACTGCTTGCTGGACTGAGCTACAAAGATCTCATGCTTGGGAGATGAAGATGATAAATACAAAGAAATAATCCAGCTGCTGCCATTGTGACTACCAAAAGGTCTTTTGTGTCAAAATGCACAGTCTTTGAGAAAAATCTGGAGAGCAGCTAATTTAAAAAAAAAAAAAAAAATGGGAGAAAGAGTAAGAAGCCCAGATTCTGAACAAGACAGAAAATCAGATGGGGATAGAAATAGTGACTCCTATTATTCGGATGAAGATAATGTCTCTCACTCATCTGGCCAGTCACCCACACTAAGCTATCCGTCTACAAGCCAAGAAAAGAGAGATCACAAAACACAAACTTCAAACAGCCTTGTGCACTACCAAGGTAGGTAGATCGCAGAAGTTGTTCCTTTGTAACTGCTCCAAAGAGTTGACTGTGTTTGAAAGCTGAAATAAAAGTGGGAAATTTTATTAAGCATTGTAAGAATCTAGAAATAAGGTTCATGTGAATTATACTACAGATGGCAAGTAGACTGTGACAGTTTTGTGAAGAATGAAACTAACCTGTTCCTGCAAGAGGACAATTTTAATGGTTTTAGAATTACTCGTATTTTTTTTTAACAAGCAAGCACAGCTCCTAAAGTAGTCTTTTGTTGAATCGTGCTGATGTTCTCTTTCAGTCTTTGACGAAAGGACTCAAGGCAAGCCTGTACTATGCAGTCTGTAAGAGACAATTGTTATGATGTCTCTGACAACATCCCCTAAAGATCTCCCTGTTGGGGAAGTCTACTTGACTAAGCTTTACACTGCTATAATTGTGTACTTTCAAAACAAGCCAGAAAACAAGCAGCAATGTGGCAAGAGAGAGAAAATGTTTTTGGTGACTGTTAGATACATATGGAGAGGAAATTCAAAAGAAAGGGTTTTTTATAGGCCTTCCCTGAGAATAAAATATTTCCAATTTGAGATGCAATAGCTCCACTGAGCTCCCTCACATACATAAGCTGCTGTGTTGGCTGTGGGGAAAGTGAACATCCCTACAAAAAGGGAGAGAATGGTTGTACAGGTCCTGGGCTGGGACGCCTCTCTGCCACGTTTTGACAGCTTGTTCTAAATAGTTATGCACATCTTCTGATGGAGCAAGAACATCTTGTCTTTCTCAAGCAAATGCTGTTTCCTTTGTAAGTGCTTGATACTGTAGGAACCATGTGGCTAATGGTATGATCTAGGGTGCCATAAGATCTGACCTGAGGTTGCCCAGGGAAAATATCCTTGGTCTTGGTGCAGCTGGTGTTTTGCTGAACAGTTGTCCAAACTGTACAAACTGTGGAAAAAGTGAGCATTGAACAGAAAATGAATGAGTATATGTGCAAAACATTCACAGGAAAATACAATATTTTAAAGCTGTTATTTTTGCTGTCAAATATTCTCTCTGGATTAGAAGAAGTATGGTGTGCACCAAAAGGAAGGCAGAATTTGCAGTTGCTCACACCCAGTGTATGGGTTACTGCATTATTGCTGAATACAAGCTTTCAGACCTGTATGATATATAAGCCGGTGCTCAGCTTCTTTATTCCAAACAGTGGTGTCCCTTAATAAATATATACTCATTGTGTATTCAGATGTTTTAAGATATATTTTAGTGTATGATGTCCTTTATTCACTGAGTGTAGCTTGAGAGGCAAATAAGATAGAAACCTAATGTTTAGCTTTCATCTGTGGGGATGATAATAAAATAGTATCAAAAAGAAATGTGGGAGTGATGCACACCGGTAATCAAATAAGGATACTCCGTGGAAAATAACTTGTGATACAGAAATAAATTATTCAAGGGACAACTGAATTTTCATGGATTTATAATTTTTCTTTGGAGGCTTTTTGCATTGAGCCTTTAAGATTGCTGTTTTGTCTGTAAGCATGGCAGCTGGGTTTGAAAACACTGTTTCATTTGTCTGAGAGAATGACATCTTGCATAATACATAACTAGCTAACACTCAGCTAATTGTTGCCATTGTACAAGCATTTGATGATATTGTATGCATAGGAGTACGGTATTTCTAATCAAATATTAATGAAACGTCTGTTATTTCTGATACAATTTGCAGATGATTACAATGCTTAGATATTGATGGCTGAAAATATTACCTCTTGCAGGTCACAAACGGAAATCTCCATTTTTTATCTATGAAAAGAAGCATAAGCCTCTCACATACATGCTTTCTATTTTCTGGTTTGAAAGCTGCAATCTCTGCTACGTATTGTAAAATTGTTTCAGGCAGAGCTTTATTCCAGAAAGGATGTCTGAATCGACAAATTGCATTGTCTTATGGTAAACATGCTTTTCATTTTTCCTCTCTTAGCCACAAAGAAATTGGGTTCCAAATATGCACCGAGCAAAAGAGGGACACGGTGGGGTTTCCGTTCTCAGAGCCTCACTCGGGATTCTCCTGCGAAGGATATAGATCTCGTTACAAAAAGAGTTCTTTCTGCTAGGCTGCTGAAAATCAATGAGCTCCGAAATGAACTGACTGAACTCCACATCAAACTAGATGAGCTGCAGAAGGAAAACAGGGCGCTGAAGAGGCTTCAGCACAGGCAGGAGAAAGCCTTGAATAAGTTTGAGGATACAGAAAACGAAATCTCTCAGCTCCTTGCCCGACACAGCAATGAGATTAGAATATTGAGGGAGCGCCTACGAAAATCTCAAGAGAGAGAACGTGCCACCGAGAAAAGGCTGAAGGATTCGGAAGACGAACTGTACAGAACAAAAACTGTCTTGCAGAAACTGAAAAAGCTGTCTGCAGATAAGCACCTTGCCGAAAGAGATGACCTGGCAAAGAAACTTGCCTATGCAGAGAGCAGACTAGAGGACAGTGAAAAAAGAATTAAGGTGAGATGACCTTTTCTTTTGTAAGAAATTTTGGTTCAGGTATTTCTTACCAGAAAGAGCTTCATGTTGTTTTTATTTTTTCCACTGTGCTAGAGCAAATAGAAAAATTATTCTTTTTTACATGTAAATCGCATCAAGTAAATTATTTCCAAGGTAATTACATAGTTATATACTCAGTAGTCAAGCATTGAAATTGCTATTTACAAATTAAGTGTTACTTGTCAGTGTATACACAGTGAGCTTGTGCTTTTAAGTGCTTTTATAACTAGTAATAATGTTTCAGAAATGCATGCAGCTATAGTGTAACTTTATGAAGTCTAATTTATCCTCCAGAAGGTGAAGCATTTAGTAAAAATTTACTGGGTATTCAGGGAATCGTGTACTAAAATTCTTCCTTTAAAAAAAAAAAAATCCTGTCCCCTATTCTGCACATCTGAGAGCTGAGCTGGGGAAAAGTATAGCAATCTTTTTCATACCAAAATGAGCTTTAGTACACTTCGTAGGTATCCATTTTAAGAATCTTGTGCAATTTACTTTAATATTATTCAGCAAAAATATTTACCAATATGTCTTAAAAACTCATCTCATTTAAAAATAATTGTGTTTACAGCTTTAAACTGCTGGAAGTTGTATGCAATGCTTTTTTTAACATTATATTGGTCATTAAAATGATGTTAAAGTTTAGTGACTATATTAGTACTTAAAGCTAAATTACATCACAGAGATAATAGATACTGTAAATCCAAAGGATTTTAGTGGAAACTAAGCTCCCATGAAATAAACCCAAAAATATCAGGATAGAAAATGCTGCTACTCAGATCACCTCACCCTGTAGCGTCACCATCTGGCACCTGTAGTTTTACGATCGGGTATTTCAGCATTTGTGGTAGTGGATAATGTTAAAATGAATCATGCTCTAGAAGTACATTTTTTTCGTCTGTTTTTTTCCTCCTCTCATCATCACAGGCTCACATAAAACAGGTGAGAGTATCTAAGTGGAACAACAGTCACAAATCTATTTCCCAGAGAAGAAGGTTAAAATTATTTCTTGTCTTCTTCCTTCTAATCCTGTACTTTTAGGGAGATGTCCTGTTTTGAAAACCATAAGGTCAAGATTGTCTTAGAGTTTCAGAGGTGCACTCTTTGCCTGTGCCAAGAGCCTTGGGGAATTGACTAGCATGTCCCATGATGTCCTCAAATTGTCCCTGTCTATTACAGAAAGATGAGCTGCAGCAGCTCTGCAGGTGCTCTGTCTGCCCCCTGAAAATTAGGGTTAGGGTTTATGCGTGTTTACTGTTACAGTAATGGTGGAACTGATATCCGAATCCAAGATGTTGGTGTTCTGTAATTTTTTTTAAGTACCTTGAACGTAAAAAGAAGAAAATAAAAAATAAAAAAAAAAAGAGAGAAGAAAACAAAAAGTATCCCTGCTGATAAAAATAAAACAAAATAATATTATTTTGTTGTTTTTATTGAAGGATCTGGAAAAAAATCTTGAATTAAGTGGTAACAGTTTTCAACGAGAGTTACAGTCAAAGAAAAAAAAGGTGCATGAAGCTCAAGAAGAAAACAGAATTCTCCAAGAAGAGCTTCAACAACTTAGTCAGAAGCTGAAGGTAAAGTGTGAAGCAATGCAAGCTGGGATCCAAATTGTGGCATTTTATCTTTGGAAGTATCTGTAATGGAGTTTGAATAGTTTACCAGTGATTGCACTTTCAGACATGTACTTGATTATATCACCTGTGAGTTCTTTTCCTGCTTCAAATGAGAAAGTTCTGTGCTCTGACCCCGCAGCCTGTTAAAGAGCAGGAATGCCTCCATGTTAATTATTGTTAACGCTAGTTAAGAAAAGCAAGATCAAGCATGTAGCCAAGAATTGCCATTAAACCACAAAATCAATGGGAAAACTGGGTATTGAAGACTTGATTGTTAAGATCAGATCTGCGGGTATATACAGCAATTTATGTTAGTAATGTACGGGCATTACAGCAGGTTTGTGTACAGATTAATTGGATGTACTTGTGACACACACATGTGTACCCTGTGACAAGTAATACTGCTATCACTGAAATGTTTATCACTTTATGATACTAAACGTTTATTTGTGCGATCCATAAATACATCACAAGTTGTATTCACAGTTATGGAAGTACTGGCATATAGTTGTATTTTTGCTGCAGGGTTGCAACATTTTTTCAGACTATTTTGCTAATGATTTGGGGGAGGGGAAGAGCTCTATCTGCATATTTTTACAGCATAAGAAAAGTTAAGAATTTGATTGTGCTCCTCAAAACATTGAACAAGAACTAGTGATGCCCTTACTTTATAATTGATGCCCTTACTCTATAATTACAACAAATATTTTCAATTTAATTTACGGCTTTGGTAATGAGTAGTGAATGAAACTTTAGTAACTCATTCTGCTACACCTCTTTGACTCACAGGAAAAAGAAAGAGAACTTGAAGCAAAAAATATATATGCTAACCGTATGTTGAAGCTATCACCAAGAAAGGACATGGATATTATACAAAGAAAGAAAGGTAACACATAAAACAACAAAGGCAAAAAGATTTGTAATGTCACTTTTAAGTTAGACTCTGCTAGGTTATGTCATGCATGCCATTCAGTGTTTGACCCCACTGCCACTTGTCCAGGAAGGCTTAAATTTTTGCACTGCTTTCAACACAGCAATCATTACAAAGAAGAGCACAGTATGATGCTGTTTGTAACTGCAGAACTAGAACCTAGAACTTCATCAAAGTGTTTTTAATTAATTTCATATCAGAAGTTCCGGGGTGAAGGAGGAGAGGCAGATGGTTTAGTAAATTTTCTAGTCGATCATAGATAATGTCTACATGAAAATAAATTACAGAGGCTTTAAAAAAATAAAACCTCACTGCTATATTTTGTGCATGTTTTTTATTTATTTTGTCATCAATTCATATTTATTTTCTGTCAGATCAGCTGCAGTACTTTTTTCATCAGAGTGCATATGTCACAGAACATAATCTTCTAAAAGCATCAATGTAGTCATTTCTTCTGGTGTGACAAGGCAGCCTGAAGCCTTATGTTACCAGCATAAATATGTGTTTATATATGTATGTCTGTATGTGTACTCAGACAGTCTTCAATGGATCAGTAGAATCTACTTGTCAGAAGAAGCAGGAATTTCTGGGGCTGTTTTAAATATTTATTGTGAGCATTTCAGTTTATCTGCTGCTCATTTTAGGATAGGTATTGTACTATCACTCCATTTTAGGTTCAGGCTTTGAGAATGTCATTTAACAGATATAAGGTTGTGTTTTAAAGATACAACTTAAAATTAACTTAATGAGTTTGTTTCTCTAAATGTACCTTCTGAGACAAGATGATGATTGGGATATTGTATGGAAAAAAATATTCAGTATACTGTAATTATTTTATAAATAGTTTTTTTCCTGTTTGTGGTTTGGTTTCAATGTCAATTTTTACATGCAATTTTTTAAGTTAGCATTTACAGATACTGAAAAACAGTTACGTGAAACTTCCCAACGCTTTCCACTTCCATAGTTGCAGATACTGAGAAATGAGGGATAGATGCATAGTCTGGTATTTTCAAGGGAAAATATGACTTGATTCGTTTGTATTTTCTACAGCCAACAACCAAAATACTAAAAAAGGAGCACAGCTCACAAAAGGAGTACAGACCAGTGGATACTTCTCACCGGTAGAATTTCCTCCAGAATCAGAACTTGTTTGTGGTGACACAACAAATAAGAAAGAAGGGATTCATCCCAGAATAGTGAGTTCCATAAAAAAGCCTCAAGACTTCCTCCAAATAATTCACCTATCAGACTGAATATTTAATGCACAGCTTGTATGTTAGAAAAAATGTATATTTAAATATACAGAAAATATAATTTAGAAAACATTCTGATCTTTAAGTGTTGCCTTCCCAGAAATGCCATGTGCCATTTTTGTGACAGTTCACCATGTTCAATGTCTTACCAATAACCATCAGTTCAATCTGTTTCTTTTTTTCTACCACTTCTTTGAAATTTTTAGGACTTTTTTTTTTTTTTAATTTATTTCTAATGCTAATTTGAGCAATCTGTTGTAACAGCACTGGCTGCCTTCGTCTCTCTTTTTGTTTTGATCTTAGTTATGGTTTCTTTTACTTTCCAAATTTATTTCACAATCCATAAATCTAATGCTTCCTCTTATTGTCAGAGTGATGGCATTTCTTCTGTTGTTTCTCCAGCTTTGTGAGCGTGGTTGCGTTTTTTGATGTTACTTTTTTCTGTTTCCTTTTTTAATTATAAAATAGCACCATTAGAAGCATTTCTGATACTTCTGTGACCTCAGACTAAAGTCAAAGAGATTTGTAAGGTAGAATTAGACTGATTTTAGTACAAATTTTATGATTTTTCCTTATGTAAATCTAGGGCTACTTGTAAGGAATTATGCTCTGATGGTTGTCTTGACTGGCTTCCTGATAGGACTGAAGTTTTTTCATGGCTGACAGCTTGGTTTGTATGTTGTCTCTTCCAGAATCCTTTCTGTAAATATGGATTTAGTTTAATGTATGCATTCTTCCAGCACTTCGGTGTGTAAGTTATGTAATGGCACACCTGGTGTAAGTGGAGCTGGTGGAATGTAAATTACATTTGGGTAGTCTGTGCCTTCATCAGTTTTCTAAGTCAAGCATTTTACATATTTGTCACCTCTTTGTGAAATTTATTTTTAAAAATCATAATAATAGTCGTGTATATGAAGGGAAAATACTTGAAATTGTTCGGGCAGCAAGTTCTATTTTCTTTGTTCATTAAGTAGTAACTGTTTCAATTATTGTAGAGCAAACAAAACTTCTATATGCAGTAAAATGCACTTTTTAGGGAAATAAGAACGAGCTACAAAGTTAGTATCCACATGTTGGATTAGGCTGGCTTTCACTTTACTTCATTGCCACTGATTTTCTGTTAGTGATTTTTATGCTGACATTGATATATTTTCTGCAGCTTCTTTCCCTTTAAATGTATATTTACTTACTAGCTGATTTTTCACCCAGGAATGAGCCTTTCTCATTCTCTGTTTACTTGATACTCCGTGACATTAATTCCCACTGTGAAACTGACTGAATCTGCAACCCACTCACTTCAGTAAAAATATCAGATTGTGGAAACTAATTGCTTGCTTGTTAAAACAAAAAGGGGATGGGGTCTGGCTTCTGTTAAAGTCCTGGAAAAGGCAATTACTGACTTCTAAAGAGAGCCACCCTTAACACAGGGACAATTTTGGTTTATGACATTGGAGCTGCAGTCTTTCTGACATGTAATACGGAATAGAATTGATTATCTGTTCATTTTGTTTCAGATACATAAAACTATGTTAAAGATGATGAGATTTTAGGACCAAAATCCCTGGGTTGTCAGAATTGGTTAGGTTTAGATGACTTGCTCATTTTTGTGTTTAGCAGTGAGAATATAATTTCAGATTGAAATAGAAGTTCATATCATATTTTTCTTGTTGTTGTTCATTTATTTGATTATTTTACCCTATTAGTTTGTTTTGTATCAATTTATTTCAGGAAAAAGAGCCTCAAGACATTGAATGGAAAGAACAAGGAGACCTCCTAAGACAAGACCAAGGCAGGGAAAGGGAAGAGAAACTGAAACATGCTCAGGAAATACAGTCTTTAGAGGAGAGATTTCAGAAACTGCATGATGGTAAGAAAATGGGCAGCTGAAAGCTGGAAAATGCAATGCAGAATACTAATCAAGTGAGGCTGCTATTTTTTTCTTTTTGTGTGTGTGTGTGAGAGAGAGAGAGAGAAGAGTGAAATGATTTTGCAGAGATCACTACCGTGGAAAATTATTTTCACGTATATTATGCAAAGAGAATCAGAAAAAAAATAAGGAATATAGAGTAATTTGTATCCTGTATGCAGATGTGATTAAGTATGTAGCAGTAAAAATGCTGTCCACTAAGAAATATTAAAATCTGAGAGATTCGGCTTAGGATGACATAGAGATAAATCAGCATTTACCTGCTGACTTGCCAAATGCCGTTAAGGTAGGCAGTAGATTTTTACTATTGTAGTACAAATCTGCTTTCCTTAATTTGACCTGTTTTTTCAGTACAGATCTGCTTTACTTGTATCACTTGAAGTTGTAGTTTCTCTTTTCACTTGTGGTTATCTGAATCATTTGGTGTGGCTATTTAAGAAATGCTAATTTCTGTTGTTACATTTAATATTGCTTTTTTGTTCATTTGGTTTTCAAAGCATGCTAGTGACTTACACTCCTAAGTCTCTTCATATTTTGAGGTATTTTAGATGGACTGCGTCTGGCCATGTTAAAATATTTTTCAGTAATTATAGTTAAATAATGGAAGCAGTTACAAGGAAGAATTCTAAAATGTTATAGATGCTTTCAGAAGTAAAATCTGTGTAAAATCCCCTGCATCCACTAACATTAGTGCATGATTTATACAAGCCAAGAATTTGCTCTGTTATGTCTGTAAGATATTCTGATCATGCTTCCCATCTTAATGTACAGAAAGGTAGCTACTGTCCTTGGTATAATGATATGCTACTAAAAAAAAAGATAAATAAATTGATCTGTTGCAGTTATTTCAGTAAGTTTGATCTAAAGTACAGTAGATAACATGGAACTTTGTGAAAACAAAAATCAGCAGTTTGAATGGGAAATGCCAATTTCAAAGGGAAATGCCAATGTGTTGAATGAGGCAAGTAGTCATTCAACTTTTGACCTAACGTGTCTATGGTGTCTCGACAGAAAAATATTTTGAAGACAGAAATACTGGAAGCCTCCTTTGTCTTTTATTTGCACTTGTTAGTAGCTAATTATTGTTTTGCACTTTTCACATCCTGTCACAGCTATGCAAATTGACATTTGGTATTAGCACAGGCACTGTCACTGAGTTCATGTGGTGACACACAAGGCACTTGAGCGAAGCTGTCTATATGCAGCAGATGTAGTATGTTTTAAATCATTCACAACTTGAAGCAAATAATGACTTGCTATGACTATGTTGCCTGATAGCTTCACAGCAATAGTTTCCTTTATGGGAAAAAAAAAAAAAAGCATATGTCCCAGTGTCAGTGATGCTGACAAAGAAAAATAAAGTACTGTGCAAGTCAGAACTATTAAAATCGGTGATGCTATATTCATTTTCATTCAAACACAGGAAATAAGGCAATTGGCAGAAATGAAATTCTTCTGATGTTCTAAAACATGAATAACATCCTAATCCCTTTATAAAAATGACAGCATGCCTTTATATCTTAGCAGAGAACCTAGTATAAATTTAATTGTGACTTTTGAAGAATTTATTTTTACAGTAGCAAAACCACAGTATGCATAGAAGAGCATATTAAAAACTCAATGGCTTTTACTCAGATAATTTTCAAAATATGCTTATAAAGGCACTGTAAGACTAAATAATTCTAAATATGTTTAAACATTTCCTGCAGAGTGGGAAGAATATGGTAAAATGAAAAAAGAAAGCAGCTTTTTATTGGATAAAGAAGATAAAATGAAGATGGAGACAGAAACACACAAACCTGAAATAGAGAGAGAAAGTACTGAAATGCTGGAAGAGCAACGAAAAAAAGAGTTTCTGCTTGCTAGAATGAATGAAATTGATAGAGAAACCCAAAATGTAACGAACATGAGACTTGCTTCTCAAACACCACTCGTAAATACAAGAAGACCTGATTCCCAGGACATAAAAGAGAAAAATGATCAATACGTTGAAATTCCAGGGAAGGTTAGTAATGGCTTTGCCCGAGGTGACAGCCAGGATGATGCCACAAAAGTACAAGGGCAGAAGCAGAAAAATGTAAGGACTGTAGAAGAGTTAACATTTGGCAGTTATGTACCTTCCTTTGGAAAAGGATCAGGGAGACCAAGCTGGCTAAATCAAAAAAGTGACTACTTAGGCGAAAATATCAAGGAAAATGCAGATTTTAATAGTAAGAAAGAAAAGAAGTCCAATTTAATGGAACAACTCTTTGGAAGTAGTGCCAGTACTGCCCTCCATTCTAAAAGTAAGGACATGACACCTTTTGACGTAGACTGGGAGTCTAGTAATACTCTTCTTGTCGATAAAAACAGTAAAGTCAAAGTGAAAGAAGACACTGATCTTTTCAGTGAAGGAAGAAACCTAAACAGACACCGTCTGCAACAGACTGCACTCAAGCCAGGAGTTAAAACCCTTGGTTCTTTAGAAGATGACGTTGAAGAAGTAATCTTACAATGATCCTATTTTATATTTTTCATATGTAAATACTGAAAAAAATTTTTCATGTGATATTTATTAGATACAGAATTAACACATTTCAGATGTATTGTAAAGCCTTATGAAGGAATCATTTACTTATAAAGGATATCTGTATAGAGGAAAGATGCACTCTGGTAGTACAGCCTCACCTATAGGCAGGAAACTTCTTGTCAAAAGTAAGATCCAAATGCAGCAGTGACTGTTGTGGCAGGAAGGCAGTGAAGTTGTCCTGAGGGACCTCTGATAGCTGAGTTAGCTGCTGGCTGGCTGCTTCAGCCAGAGAAGATGCTCTTGCTCCTTCCTGGGCTCCAGGCCTACAAACCCTGCACCCTGGGGCACCACCAGCGTTGTGCAGCTGTGGTGCAGGGTCCCAGAGGCTCCTCAGCCTCGTGCCAGTAGGGATGCTGTGGGAAAGGAAGGCCTGGCAAAGGCTGACAGCTGTCCTGGTGCTGCTGAACCAAAACCCCTACGCACTGTGGGAGGAGCTCAAGTCCCCATAGCACATGCAGGGAAGTGGATGGGGACGGCGGTGTGGGTTGCTTCTGCCATGGGAAAAGGCAAACCCACTCGTGGGATTGTCTTCACCCAAGGACCAGGGTACACCTGGATATTTCCAGCCACCCAGTAGTTGCCCAGCTAGCTCTGTCGGTAGAGCATGAGACTCTTAATCTCAGGATCATGGGTTTGAGCCCCACATTGGGTGCCAAAAAGGATTGTGGTGGTTTTACTCGGGTGGGCAGCTGTGTTCCACCTCAGCCACTCTCTCGTTCCCAAAATACAACACAAAGAGCTCAAGGTTTTGAGCTCCCTTTTCCCTTTAATTAAATCATCCTTATCTCAAACCTTGAGCTCTTTGGTGTCATATTTTCTCCCCCTTCCTCTCTGAGGCTGTCAGACCTTCTGGTGTTAACTAGCCAAGTGGCTTCTGGTACATTTATGTCCCATTGTTTCCATGCCCCAGCACCCAATGCTCACAGCACAGTCTTTATCAGCCCATTGTACCTCTCAACCTTCCCAGCAGCTTGTGGGTGACAAGGGATGTGGTACACCCACCCAATGCCATGCCTCTCAGCCCAGGAGGTGACCGAATTGTTTCAGAAGTGACTCCCCTTCTCAGACTTGATTCTGTCTGGTGTACCATGTCGCCACAGCACTTGCCCTTCCAGGCCCAAAATAGTGTTTTGGGCAGTGGCATGGTGTACTGGAGATTTTTGCAGCCACCCAGTAGCTGTGTGGCTAGCTCAGTTGGTAAAGCATGAGATTTAATTTCAGGGTCATGGGTTTCAGCTCCACGCGGGGTGCCAAAAAGGGCTGTGGTGGTTTTACTCAGGTGGGCAGCCAAGTCCCACCTCAGACACTCTCTCACTCCCCCTCAAAGAGGAAGGGGGAGAAAATATGACACGAAGAGCTCAAGGTTTGAGATAAGGATGATTTAATTAAAGAGAAAAGGGAAAGGAAACATAAAAAGGAAAAAAAATAAAAGTAAAAGAAAGGCCGCACAGAAGCACAGAAAGGCAGTCAGTGAGCGATGCTCGGCCATGCCCAGGGAAGCGGCCGCCTGGATCAGCCCCTGGCAAACAATAGGGCTGAGTTTCCACCCCTAGGGCAGCCAATCCCAAGGGTACTGGATGCCCCCTCCAGCTGTGGCCTTCGTGCTGCTGCCAGAGGGCTGGAGAAAAATGCATTAGCAATATCGACTGTGGTGTACCACTAGAGGCTTTGACTCTAGTTTGTACTGAAGTTCTGGCACGTCTGGCACTACAGCACTTCATTCAGGCCCCGATAGTCCACCGTTAGCCTCCACTCACCATTTGGCTTCCACACTGGCCCTATAGGACTATTAAAGGGTGAGTGAGAGTGGTCTGATGTAGTCAATCTGCCAGGCCTCACTGTGCTGAAATCCAAGCCACCTCCCCTCCTTCTTCACTGACCTTGGTGCCTGCAAGGCTTTTTCTCACTCCCCTCTTCCTCCCAGCTGCTTTTTTTGAAGCATTTTTTTCCCCCTTGTTTTAAATACGCTCTCACAGAGGCACAAACAACATCACGTTGGCCCGGCTCTGGTGGCCCTTACCTAACATGGGGCAGCTTCTGGATCCTTCTCACAGAAGCCACCCCTTTGGCCCCCCGCTACCAAAACCTTGCCACATAAGCCCAGCACACCTTCGCTCTCTTTTGATTTTTGAGAATTACTTGACATGCCATTATAGATCAGTAAATGATACTCCTGACATTGGAGCATTGTTATTTATTGCAGAACGAGTTGGCTGAGAAGGCAGCAAGATTTTACGTGGCAGCACTGGCACTGGGGAAAGCTACTGGATGCACATCTCTGGCTAGCCAGGGTGGGAAAGATTTTATCACCTGTAGGCTGCTCACAGCACGCTGCTTTTAGTTTTGAATACTTCTTTTTAAGCTTCAGTTATTTTTTTTCTCAGACCGCCAAAGAGCCTCTTAGCTGTGTCAGGAAAATGCGTACGTAACATCAGTGTCATGAAATGGATAGAAGGGACTTGGCTAGCACAGCGCCACAGGCAGATGGGAAACACTACCCCACAACCACGTTATCTCAGAACAACCTCAACAGAGACACAACTAACTCAGGAGAAGCTGCTCTCTTTTCTGCGTAGGTTTTCTCTAGACGTTCCTACCAAACTTACCCAACACTCCTCATATATTCAGGTTATATTTATGATATAATGACATTTTTTGTAATTTTCTATGTAAAACTCCAATCATTGCTACATTTTGTTTTGTTTAACAAAATGGTTTTATTAAAAGAGTTAAGTAAAGCTTGTGCCTTTCGATCATCTTTTACACTAAGTTCTAACTTTGTATACGATGGTTTTGCTGTTGGAGGGGGGAGGGTTGGTAGCGATGTTGCTGCTTGGCACACGTAAATTGAAAGTGTAGTTGATGAAGTATAAAGTAGAGGCATTCCAGAAAATAAGCTGAAGGTCATCATTCTTTGTTAGAATGACAGATTTTTAAATGCCTTTCTGATATGCTCCGTATGAGCCTGACTCAAAACATCCTGAAATGCAGGGAAGGATTCTCATGATCTCAAGATGCTTTGAATCAAGATTTCCGTGAAAACAATAGCTTTGCTGAAAAGAAAGGCTGATGTTTGCATCATGCAATAACTTTCTTTGCTCTCCTATTCAGAAAGAAAATTAGTCACAGATCCAGACCCAGTGTGTGGGACCGTTCTCGCTGATTGTCCTGCAGTGAAAAGCAATCCACGTTCACCTGCTTGCTGACAGCCCAAACCTGCTCATGTTGATTATAGCACCACAGAATTAACCTCAGTCATTTTACTTACAGAGCATCAGAATATAAAGTGAAATTCTGACCAGAAGCAGTGAATTTAATGGTCTCTATTACTTTTCCACGATAACTTGTTTTGGAGAATACAACGTTCTGAGAGGCAGAAGTCTGCAGGTAAGCCGTGTAGGTGTGTGTGAGTGGGTGGTTGTTTGTCTTAACTCTCTTGTCCTAATTGTGGATGAGTGCTGCCCTCCCAGGCGGACGGGCTGTGTTCACGAAGACGTTGCCTGGGCTGTTTGTTTTTCTTTCCTGTGGCTGAGGATCCTAAGACAGAAAACAATGATGTAGCCGCCGTGGTTATTAAGGATCACATAGTGTATGGAGGGTTGATTTTGTTGTTTCTTCGCATTCAGACCCATTAACATCTGGCAAATTCTAATTATCGTGCTGAACTGGTGTGCCCTGCTGTTTCAATTATAAATGTATAGTTTCTACGCTGTGTTGTATTATCAGCTTCTTCTTAAAATCACAAATGTTCACCTTGTGCTACCAGACTTTTCCTGAAGCAAATGCTGTGCTGCCTTGCGCAAAAAAATAAATAAATAAATAAATAAATGTTTATCTCTGTTAGGAAGGTGAGAATAAATTAATCTGTTAGGAACAGGACCGTGGGTATATTTTCGAATTTTCCCTGGCTGCTTTCTGTCTCTACAGGCTATTCTTTCTTCTTGTTGTCCTTTATAATTTTAGAATTAATTGTATGCAAATACAATTTCAGTTAGAAGTATAAAGTAAGCACACAGAGTTCAGAGATGGACTCTTGTTGGGGCAGAGGCCAAGTGGATGTATTTCTTGGTTCCTTCCAACATCTGCAAGCAGAGTTTCTGATGTTGAGGAGGAACAGGTAGCTTTCTACTGACTGGAAGCAACTTGTGCGAGGGTCTATGGACCTTACTACTGGACTCATTGATCCACAGTGGTCCCCTTTACCCCTGGTCTCAGCTACACACCCATGGAGTCTGTGTGTTGCTCTGGTGGTGGCAGCACCTGACTGATGGCAGAAGAATCCCCCTTTTGGGATGAAAAGCCCATCACAAATGTAAGCTGTTTTGGTGATGATTTGGGATGCTGTGATGTTTCTGTCCTGCTGTGGGTTGTGCTTGTTAGGTGTTCAGAATGTGCGACCGTCGCACCTGGTGTGTTTTTCTTTCCTTTTGAACCATAGAAGATGATGGGAGAACTTCCTGCCTTCTAGCATGGAAATATTATTAGAGTTGGAGGAATTGTTTTAACGCTATCCGCAGGGAGACGGTTCCTGCTGCAGGCAAACTGATCTTCAGCTTCTGGTCCCCAGGAGAGTGGGCATCAAACAAAATTCTCTGGGGAGCATCCGACAACGATGTTCAGATGTCAGGACATACTTGACAGAGGAAATAGGGAACTTTAAGAGAAAAGACTTTTTTCTCTTTGCAAAAGCACAGATGAAATGTTTGGGGGGGATCATGGCAGATAATCGGCAATGCAAGGGAAGAGATGTAAGTTGGAGGAGAGCTTGGGATGCCCTTCACAACTCTGAAGTGAAGCCTTAAGAAGACTACAATAGTAAGAATAATGAACTGGGAAATGCTAGAAAGGATTGACCATTTTTCTTATATCTGTGATGTCTTTGCAGTAGCTAAGGAGTAAAAAAAGTGATTTTTCAGAGCCCTCATAAACGCTGTGCTTCTAACGATGCTTTGCTTGTTGCATATGTACCTAAGGAGGTGAGCTGCAAATCTGTAATGCTTCCAAAATGGGGCTGCTTGGAGAGGATGTGCTTTGGCTACCTGGTAGCCTCAGGCTCATTGCTGGTCCTGAGGCAGAAGGCCTAATGCAGCCAGCCCAGGGCCCATTAGCATTGCCGGGGGGTACGAAAGAAGATCTGCTCTGGCGTGGTAGGAGTAGGAATTTGATTAGGAAAATGTCTTGAGGCAGGTGGCTACAAGAGCACCAGCAGGGCTTTCCTGGATACTTGTGCACCAGAGAGTGCTCAGGGTGAGCCTTTACTATTAAAAAAAAAAATTATAATAAACTCCGCAGAGTGCTCTACAGCCAAGACTATCACGCTGCCAATTGCAGGCAGGGAGGTTTTGTTTGGTACTTTGCACATCCAGAGCTCTTGACTGCTTTTTACAGTTTTTCTTTTCAGACATGCCTTCTCCAAGGAAAGATGATAGAAGACTGCTGAGACTCCTAGGAATCTCAGAATCAAGAATGTTAGGGATTGGAAAGGACCTTGAAAGATCATCTGGTCCAATGCCCCTTCTGGAGCAGGAACAGCTAGGTCAGGTCACACAGGAACACGTCCAGGCAGGTTTTTAATATCTCTGGAGAAGAAGACTCCACAACCCCCCTGGGCAGCCTGTTCCAGTGCTCTGCCACCATCACCATAAAAAAGTTTTGTCTCACATTTAAGTGGAACCTCCTACATTCCAGCTTGCACCCAGTGCCCCTTGTCCTATCTTTAGATGTCACCAAGAAGAGCCTGGCTCCGTCCTCCTGACACTCTCCCTTTACATATTTATAAACATTAATAAGGTCACCCCTCAGTGTACTCTAACTAAAGAGACACAGCTCCCTCAGCCTTTCCTCGAAAGGGAGATGCTCCACTCCCTTAATCATCCTCATGGCTTTGTGCTGGACTCTGCCAAGCAGTTCCTTGTCCTTCTTGAACCTTCTTGAACCTTCTTGTCCTTCTCCCCACCCAATTCTCCAACCTGTCAAGGTCCAAGACACAGGCAGCAAAAGTTCAGACAAGTCTGTTCGTTTTGAGTCATTTTCTCTCTTTATTGCCAACTTGTTGTGCATTACTGCAGAACACGTAGACTGTGACGCTTGCGTCTTTGTCCTTTAGGTTGGATTCTGTTGGTTTGCACCCTTGCACATCCTCCACCAGAAAAGCAGCTCCTTCCTGGTTTGGATGCCTTTGAGAATGGTTTAGGTTCCTGTGGATGTTGTTGATGGCCTTAATTCTGGAAGCCACATGAGTGCTTTTGCTTTTGGGCACTCTCAGTGGCCCCTCATCTGTGGCTCTCTAGGCTTAGGGAGCCTTTCCTCTGAACAGATGTCGCCTCTTTGAACCTTTGGGTTTTCTTGTTCACAAACACTTCAAACTGGCAGCACAGCAGCTCCTTGGTGACGTGGCCATCTTAGAGCATGTGCATGGCTCTTGATGATTTCATTCATGGCTCTCATTCTGGCAGCATTCCTCGGCTGTGCCAGTGGAATGGTCTGGTCCGGAGAGCCCTCAGCTTTTTGACACTTGTCTTGAGTTTTCCTCAAGCTGAGAGTTTCTGTGCATCTGAGAAACTGGTGACAGAAAACACAGCCTTTCGGAGACTGGGAACAGGGAAAGAGGCTTCCTTCATCAGAGAAGGAAAGGAAAAGCAGAAGCATTTGAGTTCAACTTCCAGCAGTGTTGTCACACAGCAGAAAGTACTCACTGAATTCCAGGCTGTACTAAACACTACTACGTGTGCCCCTGACTGCTAAACTGCGTATATTCCCACCACTTTCACAGGTTGCATTTTTAATTACAACTCCATAGAGAAGATAGAAATTCAGACTCTATTAGACTGATGTCTAATCTTCCACATTTCTATCAAGGCACAGCCCTTGTCATCTTGTGCAGATGTTGCAGTCTCTCTATCTATGGGAGCAGCGTTCTCCTCTGCTGCCCTTTTCATCTGATGGTCAAAAACGTCTCTGGAAGTCTTTGGGACCTCCTTGTCCCATCCATAGCTGCATTGCTTACTGCAATAGAAAAAAAATATGAGTGAACAATGAACAACATGAAGAGAAGAAATACATGGGAAACGGATGAAGAAGTGTTGAGGGATGTGTTATCTATCGCCTGTGTTTTGCCATACCTGAATTACCTGAATGTCAGGGCTGGCAGAGGGCTGAGGTCTTTGTGTTAACCGAATGCGTGAATTCTAACACCAGGACTAGACTGCAGAAGCAGCGCCTCAGCACTGTGCTCACGGTCTCCAGGCCTGCTCCACTTGACTATAAATTGAGCCTTCACCATCCACAATTTTGGCTAGACAGGGGCAAGCATTTGCGTGTGTCTTCAGACAACTGTTAAAATGTCTCTTTCCAGCAGCTCAGCATTTATTTGAAGCTACCTCCTTCTGCCAAAGTCCTCTCTGTGTACCAACATGTAAACCTATTTCTTAGGTCCCACTGAGACCAATGAACATGTTTAGCTGAGGAATCACAGAATCACGGAATTGAAGGGGTTGGAAGGGACCTTGAAAGATCATCGGGTCCAACCCCCCGCCAAAGCAGGTTCCTTAGAGCAGGCTGCCCAGGTAGGCATCCAGACGGGCCTTAAATATCTCAAAAGGAAGGAGGCACTGAACAACCTGGAGCAATGGCCTGTATCTGTATCCTAAGAGCTGTCCCATGTTTGTGCAAGTAAAGACAGTTGCCAAGAACTTGTCCGTAGTGCTCCTTTGGGAGCCTTTACTCCCAAGACACTTCTTACCTGCTTCATCAGTATGCTGGGTCAGCGTAGAAGCCCTCTCTCCCTGAGAGAAACCTGTGCACAAAACTTTCACGTTACTGCAGGATTTAGTGCAACATGTAAGAATATTCCATATTTCTGTCGCTGTCTTTGAAACATCACAGAGAAGTATGAATGGGAAGCCCCATTCATTACCACATCCAAACAACCCTATGTAGGACACTGTTCTAAAACCATTGTTATGTACTGCCAAAGGAGGGCAGCTATCGGCAGAACATCAAGATCTTGCTGTACCAAGCACTGCTGGAGTGAGAGGCAAAGCAAATAAGGATGGGTATCTTGGTATACCTGCTGAATGATATAATTGTTAATTGATAAAGTTACCTCTTGGCTTTGAAAGGCTTCCAGTGGGCCTTCGTTGGTGGCTGTTGCACTGCACTCAGCTTCCCTGGTGTTGCTTGATAGGGGGAGCTGAGTGGTACCTGAGATCTCCTGAAGACAAATACAAAGAATCGCAGAATTAACAGTAATCTGGGTTTGTGTTTCTGCCTGTGAAGGGCTGTCACAAGTAAGTTCTACTTTAAGAGATGTTGAGCCCAAATGGTTCCTTTATGGCAGCGTACCTTGATGATTTAGGGGGTTACAAGCACCAAAAGGAACCCATGTGACAAGAAGGTTGAACTGTCAAGTTAGGTGAGGCTCAAGAAGGGCAAGTTGAAAAGAAAATGGGGCGCAATTTTTTCCATGTCTTCTCTGTTTAAGGAGGATCATAGAGGATAATAGAATCACTAAGGTTGGAAGGGACCTCCACGATCATCTGGTCCAACCATCACCCTACCACCAATGTCACCCACTGAACCGTAGGCACCATGTCCAAACATTTCTTGAACACCACCAGGGGCAGTGAAACCCGGAATAAAGCAAATAATGGTATTTTTCCCTTGAGCTTTTAGTAGGGCAGCCCTCATTTGTTATTATTCAAAATGCCACTGTTACCTCTGCAGCTTTGTGCTGGTACTGGGAGTGAGCAAAGATGGTCATTGAAGGGGTCATCTGCCCGTTCCCAAAGTGTTTCCTCACTGTGGCCAGGCCCCCAGGCACAGTGCAGGACTTGATTTCCTCTGAGGTCTGCAGTGATCAAAAAAGGCCAGGTGTTTTCCATTGTGGCTGGTGGCTACTTCCCCCAGGTGGTTTCGGGGCTACCTGAGCACCCCCAGCTGAGCTATTTTACAATGTGGTAATTTCAAATTCTTCAGTTTGAGCAGCAATTCACTGCACTCCTGAATATGATTTTACAGAGCCATTTTGTCTTTCGAGGAGACGTTCTCCTGGAACTCTATCAGCATATTGCTAGTGCTGGGAGGGCTCTCTTCTGGAAATCCTCCTACAGCCCTGCAGCCACCCACTGCAACCACAAAGAGACGTCATAGCTGGGGAGAGGGAGATGGGTGCACGTGTTTCAAAGCTTGAAAGAAAAGCAGTAAGCAAAACAAACAGTATTGCCAACATTTTGCCAGCTGTGTCATACTTTTACTTTAGAACACATCAAGGACGGAGCATTTCATCTGTGGAAACCAGAATGCCTTTAACTAACAAAAGTTAATCTGTTGTTACCAAAGTGATGTGTTGCTAAATCCAGTCTTCACCAAACAAGAAAATGAAGATATCACTTTTTTTTTTTTTTGTAATAGATGAATGCTGCCATAGTTTTGATATCATATTTGTAATTTGGGCTGCCTTCATCAAAAGTTATCTTTTCAAAACATTAATGAGCATCAGGCACTCGTCCATAATACCAAAGACAAAACGGAGAAGGCTGGATTTTGTTTGGCATTTGAGAAGAACCTCAGGTTCTCTCCCTGGGCGGCCTGGGGGCTGCCCTGCTGAGCTGAGCGTGCTTGCCCCTTGCCACCCCAGTGCCAAGATGGAGGGCACTGAACTAAAGGGAGAAATCAGATCAAAGTGGTAAGGCCTCCAGTGTTGGTGGTCTGTCCATTGCCTGGGGACATCTTCTCAAAGATTGCCCTCCCCTGTTTCACGCCGGACATTTCCACCAGAGAAATGTTTGTCTGGCTCCCAGGCTGGGCGGCCAGTGCTGGTGGCAGTGAGCTTCTAGCACTTTCTGCTTGCTGCTGTAAGACATGGAGGGGGTGTGAGTTAGCAGCTACTGGGAGGAGCCAGGCTGGACTTCCAGGGGGCAGAAAGGATATGGAGAGGCAGCAGGTTGCTGCTGTGGCAGTTGTGTTCTTCAAGGCCTCAGACATAGCTTGTATCTGAGACTGAGCTTCCATCTCCGTTGTTGGCTTGTTAGGACTTTTCATTTGCTTTTTTTGTTTTGGGACAACTCTTTAACCGGGATTTGAGTGGTCCGCAGTATTACACAGGGGAGGAAGAAGCACAGGAGACGCGCTGGGTTTCTGCAGCCCAAGGGCTCTCATGAAGGAAGTTCCCTTGTGGCATGTGCACTGGTCGGCACAGAATTGGACTTTAGGCCTCAACCTGACTTTAAGCCACTTTCCCCACCTGCTCATGGTCGCTTAAATCACTACAGGATGCAAGGGGTAATGGGTATAAAATTGAACCACAGAAGGTTTCATCACCTCATGATCAATTATTTCATCACTTCTTTACAGCTCAGGTGACAGAGCACTGGAAGGGGCTGCCCAGAAAAGTTGTGGAGTCTCCTTCTTTGGAGATATTCAAAACCTGACTGGATGCAATCCTGCATGCTCGAGGTGACCCTGCGTGAGCAGGGGGTTGAACTAGATGGTGTCTGGAGGTCCCTTCCACCCTCAGCCATTCTGAGATTCTGGGATTTGGCTCAGACAGCCCTTGGCTGTTGCAAGCAGCTGGAGCTCAACATGTCGGAAGATCTGAGTCTCATATCTATAGCCCTTTACAATGAAATGTCTCATTTTAAAATTTGCTCTTACTGAGAGTTCACATTTAGATATAATCCTAACTTGTAAATGTTGGAAGCTTGAAACAAAGTGTGTGGTACCTTTCATGGTACTTCATATTTCTGGAAAGAGAGTATTTTGAAGTTTGTAAGTGCATCGCAGAGTAATTGCAAACACCTGTTGGGCAAGGCTGACACAAGACACTGCTTGCAGAGCAATAGTTTCTCTCTGGTGCTTGGTTATTTACACACCTCATTCCTGGGTAGCTGTTGTAACCGACCTCTGTGTACCTGCTGCTGTTTTGTGTTACGTAGCTCTGGATAAAGTTTTATGAAATATATTATGGCCCACTTTCACTTGTGCAAGCTGTCCTGCCGGTCTGATGCCACCTTTCTTTTCCTTAGCTATGATCTGAGGTCATGCTCCCAACAACATTTACATATGCTTTGGGATGAAGATGCTTCATTACCCTTGACAGCAAATGTTTGAGGAACAAAAAACACGCTGAGCCTTACACAGGATGGCGTTCTCAAATTCAGAAGTGATGTTAAGGACACATTATTTTGTCATTTTATTGATTATTTAAGTTACCACTCGGGAATAGTTTACGGATCACGCAGTGGCTGTATGGGCAGTGGGTGCAACAGCTGTCAAGAGCTCCTGTATATCACATGAGTTTCCTTTAGAGGGCACCATTGGCTTCCCTGAAGTCTACTGAAATTGTCTGTACTCGCTGGTAATGAGGCTCGTCCACACCTGGACGTTTTAGGTGCATTTGTTGAATAGTTTTTTGCTCCAAATATGTGGGATGCTGTGGGCTACTGCACATTACCTACCATTTGCAAATATTTGATCTTACATGCACCTCACAATAAACTTCTCAGGCCTTGGCTATGATGATTTTTTTTTAAATTGCCAAGAGAAATGTTGGAAGGGGCATGCACTCCAGGATGCTGGGCTATGCCTTCTAATAAAGAGTTTAAGAGGACTGGAGGGCTCAGCTTCAATCACAGAGGCCAGCATACAAGAGTCACCATTTCCACCATGTGGTCTCAAAGACACAGGATCCCCTACCCTATGTGACCAGTCACTGGATCTATAGAGGTATACTGGATTCTCCTTCCAGATGACTTTGTTTTACTGGAGAAGTGATTTTTTTTTTTTTTTTTTTTTGTAAGTTGTACCATAGTTTGGCAGGATGTGCCTATGTGGACATCTTGCTTGATGAAGTGAAGCCAAGAGGGTGCAGCTTTAGGAGGTGGACAGGTGACATGAGTCGTTTTCTAAAACGAAGAAAGTTGCTGTTAGATTTCTTAATCTGTTTTTCTGCTTCTTATTTTTTGTCTCCCAGCTTGAGGCAATGCATGGTTCAAGGAAAGTCCACAATGATGTAAGCAGGATAATTGTGTAAATAAATGTCTGCTCTGCAGAAAAAAAAAAAAAAAAAAAAAAAAAAAAAAAAAAAAAAAAAGAGAGATTAATTTTAGAATTGAACCTTCAAAAGGACGCATCTCAGTTGTCCAGATAGCTGTTGTAATTTCATGGATATGAAGGAACATACAACAAAATGGCCATTCAGATGCTCACCTTCTCTCTCACTCCTTATTATGATTGTTTATGCACTGCTCTGTGCAACTGCATCAACACGGTGCTGATAACATGGGGTCATATTTTATACTTATGAGCATAACTGCAGAGCTGCAGTGAGCCTCTCTCTAACATTGCGGATGACAGGGGACTGTTCAGTGAATTTGCAGAGCCAGAAGCAAAACTTTAATCATGCTCATGACATCTTTCACTGCCTCAAAAGGTTCCTGTTGCCTACAGTGGGAGCCGGCTGACTGGTACAGGCAGAGTATTAGGACAGGGCTGAGGGAAAAAGAAAAGCTCAGATGAGGATGGTAAAGCTGTCTTTTGACGGCTTGCAAAGGCTTTTTGCCTGCACTATGGAACACTCAGAGAGTGAGAGCAACAGCTGGAAGAGGAGGGAGCCCAGCAGAGGTGCCTAGGTATGTAATCCTATGAATCTTGCCAACCCATCGCTTCTCTCTTCTTCCATCCCTGCCACGGGAGATTTTCATAACACCCAGCAGATTAAACCTCCAGAATGGGTCTGATATTCAGGAAACTCAACATAAGTTTATGTCCTGTTAGTAGGGTTCTCTTTTATGCCTCCATCCACAAAAGCTGGCCACCTCCCTATTGCGACACACTGAGAACATGAAATCTCTTCTAGAGTGTCATAAAACGTCTTTTTTTTTTTTTTTTTTTCTTTTTTCTTAGTTATATCAGCAGGTCCAAGTTGGAAGAAAATTTAATTCTCCCGAACTTCTAGTTTATTTGGGTAGTCTTCTATGGCAGGCATGTTTACATCTCTGTGATCCTAAACTTCAGGGAATTGTGTTTATTTTCAGGCCCACTGAGTCTCTGCAAATCCCTTGAGATCCTTAGCTATTATTTTAAACCTGTTGCTGTGGAGGAAACCTGGAAAATCAGGAGTAAGAGGTCTCAAAGAAATAGAAAGTACATTTAAGAAACAAAAACACCTCAGAGTTAAGGTCCAGTGAAGGACAACACAAATTTGAAGGAATTTATTTACCTATTGATCTAGGATGTTCTCACACGCTTTACTTCCAAGCCATGTATAACATACCTCACCCTTAAACTCTTTAAGAGCACCTATCTGCAGGGGAAGCAGGATGGATGGTCCCAAAATGCCCCTAAGCAGTGAAGGAGAAAGCAGGTACAGACACGAACTGAAGTTGGTTCCTGTGCTGTCCTCACAGGCTCCAAGTCCACCTTTCTATGGCAATCCCAGCGCTGAAAACAGGTCAAGCAGTCCTCAAGGTGGCTGTGACAGAGGCTTTCAGCAGCAGAGGGAGCTGCTTTTCTTCCTGAAAGCACACTCTGCTCTCCTCTTTCTGGAGGATACCACAGCTCCTTGTATGCTTCAGCCTCAGAGACCTCTCCTAAAGGCACATGCTCCTCTCTCTGGGTCCTCCACCATCTGCAAGCTCCTTGCAGCTTGTGCTTTCTGTGCAGAAAAGCAAACAACAGTGAAAATTGGTGTGCGTGTGTGTGTGAGAAGCATCTGATTTTCCTCTTTTGAAGGCCTGCTTCTGGCAGTGGAGCCTCTGCTGCTGGATGGTCAGTGATGCAAAATTACGAGGTTGTTCCTCTGTCACTGTGTCCACAGTGGGTTCTGCCTGAATTTTAAACAAGAATTACCTTTCCAAAGCACGGTCAGCTTCCGTCCTGGAAAGTTAAAATTTGACTGTATTTTATTTCTTTAGGGGGAGATAGATAATACAGCAGTAGTGTTGCATCTTATATCAAAGTTGCACCTTATATCTTATACTCTGAACGTTGTCCCTCATCTGCTCTGTTGAGGGATGATTTCAGTGTAAAGGGAGCACTCAATGGAATAGGCTTTTCACCGAATGGAAAAATAAATCATCTGGAGTGGAAAGAGGGG